ACATACTTATTTTTCGTAGGACTGTCGAAGAGCACGTTGCGAGAAATGCGAGTTTGGTCGCACCCAGATCTTGTACTTGGGTCATGAGATTTCCGCGGAGGGTTTGAAGCCCCGATGACGCGACGGTGGCCAACATTCGTGACTGGCTGCGTCCTCACTCTGTGACTGAGATAAGGTCCTTCTTAGGGATGGCAGACTACTACCGCAATTTTGTTCAGAATTATAGCATAGTAGCCGCCCCTTTGACGGACCTGACTCGCCTTGACACCCCATGGGAGTGGACAGACAGGTGTGAGGCTGCTTTCAGACATCCGAAGCATGCGTTGACAAACCATGAGGTCTTGAAACTTCCTGATCATGACAAACCTTTCGTAGTAACTACGGATGCCAGCCAATATGGCATAGGCGCCGTACTTGCGCAGCAGGAGGGGAAGAAGTTGAGGCTGGTAGAGTACATGTCATCCAGTAGGCCGAATCGTTGGGCGAACCTTGTTCTTGTCGTCTTGTAGGCTGAATCACTGACCGCTTTGGGATTGAGGCCTACAGGAGCGCCTCCAAGGCCCTACAGTAGGCGATCCTGCAGCGTGCACAATAGTTGCCTGTCCCTGATGTTCTTGTAAAAAAACAAAAAAAACAAAATCCCTACCCACCCTGTGCAAGGATGACACACATAAATCAAGAAATATTTAAAATAAGGAAAAATAAAAATAAAGGAAAAGTACAGCGGCGTCTTTTGTGGATGTGGCAAGTGGTGGAGCGTGGCCGACAGTGCACTACTATCCAACTAACAAGAGAATGAATCTTCTGCTAGAACGTGGATTGGTATAGGGAAGATCAGGTTGGGCTGATCTTCTTTTTTTTATTTTCTTGTCTTCTATTTTCTTTTTGAGCCTGCTGTTGTCTTGTGTGGTTGCTTGTTTCCGTTTTCGAAACGAGCTACCACTAGGATGCTTGTCGAGGCTCTACCGAGCCTCTACCGGGCCTGCCCAGGTCTCCCCTGAATTCAAGGAGAAAGTTTTTCGCCTGGGCGGGGTACTGGTGGTTTAATCCCATTAATCTCACGCGTGCATTCTTCGCTATAAATTTAGGAAGCGTGGCTTTATCTCTCTCTAATCGAACTTTTGGAGTTAGCAAGATCGAGAGGATCGACTAGAAGACTGCAGGAATTGTGAGGCTAGTAGCAGAGTTGGGCGATCTGACGAGCTGGTGGCGATCATGTGGGATCTTCATAGATTTTTGTCTTTCATGAGACTGTTGAATATGCCCGTGGCCCGAGATTCTTCATAGCTAGCGGTCCTTAGAAGTCTGGCTAGTGCCCTACTTAGTCCCATTCGTCGAGCGTACAACACACGAAGAAGTGTCCTTAAGTCTCAAGTATGCGACATGCTTGGTTTCGTGGTCCAAGTCCGTCAATTTAGGCTCCTTCCCCTCTGCCGGTATGTGCGAAGTGTAGTAGGTACTACGAGCCCTCTGCCCAATTCGAAAAGAGATTCGAATGGTTCACCGGTTACGGCTGAATAAAGCGTTTTACTACTGTCTATCAGTTTAACTCTTGACTCAATTTATGATTATGGAGAATTATTGTATCAAGATTTGAGTATTCGAGAATACTTCGGTTCAATTCGACCGCCTAAGATAGAGATTCATGGTATATCAAAAAATATATATTTCTATTATGTAAAATTACTAAAATAATAATATTCATATATTCTCTATATATTGTATGTATTATTATATTCTCTATATTGTATATTATATATAACATAGAGAGAGTAATAGTAATAGATAAAATCTCTTTGTATTTGATAAAACATGAGAGTTCAATCACTTCGCTATATGTTGGAAACGCCTTAGAGTTGGAAGTTCCAAATTCATTGGTCAATCAACAGGCTCGCCATAGTTGATCGAAGAGGAGACTCCGAGACTACAAGCGAAGCAACTTTTGCCGCCTCTTAGTGCTGCGCAAATGGCATGGCAAGCGTCGTAGCATAAGCTGGCGGGCAGTGTGTACAAGGTCCAGGAACGGATTGACCGCTATATGGTTGACAGACGATTACTAGCGATTCGCTTGATGCTGGCGAGTTGCATCTTGCAATTCGAACTGAGACCGGGTTCTTGAGGATAGCAGCCGATAGCTCGCCTTCGCAGGGTTGCAACTTGGCGGTTAGCATCCCAAGGGACAAGGAAAGAGGGCGATCCTGAATGTATCATCTACGTCCATGTAACCACCTCACAGAGTATATCTTGCGTCTAAGGTAATTTCGTTGCCTTACTTTCTAGGTGACTAGATCTCAGTTTCACTGCTTCTGATCGTGGACCAGAGATTGCTACTAGAAAACCATCTGCGAAGCGGATGTAATGCATCCTTCGGTTCTAATGCGTGGGATTCATACGCGAAGCGTGTGCTCTTCGAGCCTTGTTATATTCACGGATAGCATCCAACTATATCGGGAAAACATTCATTTACATTACTTGGATGGATCAATCCCTAGGGAAGTCTTGTGTTGATTTGATAAATATTAGCAAGAGGATACCTTAGAGACTATGAAAAAAAGTAGATAGAAGATATGGAAACAGTTTTAACAAGTATGTCAACAATCAATTTGTCTCGTAAAAAATTAAAACAAATCTGTGAGTTGAAGAAGGCTGTTTGTCAAAACAGTTGGAGATATCAGAAGTGAGAATGCTGACATGAGTAACAAAAAATCAGGTGAAAAACATGATCGCCGAAAGTTCTAGGGTTTTTTGCGTCCAGTCAATCTATGCAGAGTGAATCGGTCCCTAAGGAAACCCTGAAAGGCGGCGCCGATGGGTAACTTATGAATGAAATACGGCTTGAAATTTCCAAACACAACACGATTATAGAGCCAAATGGAATAAGCTGCTCCTAAAATCATTCCAATGGCTGGTAATGTTGCCACGTTGGGCGCAACATGAAAAGCGCAAACTAAAATTAAAAACTCACCAATAAAGCTACTAGTGCATGGCAGACTAATATTGGCTAAAGTAAAAAACAGGAAAATAGTTCATCATACGATACGAGAGTAATGGACTATTTGAGTAATTATGGCAAACAAGATATATAAACTCTAAAGAATCATCATTCATAGGGATGGGATAATGAATTCTTTATTGTAATTTGCTTGGAATATCTGACTCTATCAAACACACAATCGGTATATGTAATTGACTAGCTTCAAGTATGGCCATGGAATTCTGATTTGCATTCATTATCATCAAGCAGTCTGGAATTTTGAAACACCTAAAACTAGTAAAACATGGATTTTCTATAAACCAATGAATCGTGAAAAATCTTTATTGCTTGCTATTACTCTCTTTTTATCACTTTTTTTCCTTATATCCTCCTTTATTTTTGGTTACTCAGCAAATGGCACTAAGTCTGTGCCTGTAAGTTTCGAGCGGAGACGAAACTTCGTAGTAATAAAATAAATACACGCAGCTAACTAAATGCCATAAAGACTGCGCGTGCTCGGGCGTGGCTGGTGGTGATTTCTATATGTACATTCTTACCACCAACGATAATGAGAAAAGCTACGATTTGATTCAGCTAATTTATGAAGATCATCTCTTTTTTTCCTAGCAAATCCTTGTTTTTTCGAAGCATCCTATACATGTTGTACTAAATTACTTACAGAGGTATGCATACACTCTAGGAATACCTCAGGATAAACACCCATCCAAACAACTCCCAACTACAAAAGGTGGAAACCTGAAAAATTCTGGTCTGTTTAAACGGAGAACTTATGAATGAAATACGACTTGAAATTTCCAAACACAACACGATTATAGAGCCAAATGGAATAAGCTGCTCCTGAAATCATTCCAATGGAGATAGGGTTCGGTGCCCTACTGCACATGGTGTCTCGGTATCTGGTGCGGTATCTTCTCTCGGCATCTGGTCCAAAGGGCAGCAAGGAGGACGCATGTACTAATCATATAGGAGTTGCTTGTTCAGAAGCCTGATTCTTTGGGACCCCCCTGGGTCCCTCTACGAAGAGTCACCTCTTGCTTCCTTGATATGGAGACAAAAAGTCCTCTTGTGATCTTTCCGATCTCCTGGCAAGTTCCATGCTTACCACAGGAATGAAGATCCAGATGATCCAGCATGGCGCCGAAGCTATGGCTTCGAAACCCCCTGGGCTCTCTGGACCTCCCTCTTTAGTAGGTGGAATCACGATTGAAGTAAAACAGAAAGATCCACGGGATGAGGAGGATGGAATCAGCGAAGATGAAGGAACTGTGGTGAGCACTGCCGATGCTCAGATGGTGGCGACCATATTTTCCTGGCGATCGGATAATTCCTTCATCTCCGCTGCTCCTCCACTCGAGTCCCGGAAAACAGCTATGAAAACGATCAAGATTACCATCAGAGGGCAGGAATTTGATCTGCCTGATGAGATTCATTGACTGATTGCAGACATCTGACTGAGTATGAAGGGGGCGTTAGCGTATCAAATGCTGATATTGGGCTCTCCACTATGATCTAGCATGAGATCCAGACGAGAGGCCATCCGCCCTTTCACTGCAAACCTGACCGGTACTCCCTTGCAGAAAGAAGAGCGCCATTGGAACGTATCAAGGAATTGAAGCGAATGGATAGATTGAGCCTGCCACTAGACCTTGGTTGTTTCTGGTTGTGCTTGTTCTGAAGAAAAATGGGTCGATTCGTATTTGCATCGATTATCGCAAGTTGAATGATATCACGATTCACGATCAATGATGTGTATCCTCTACTGCACATTGATGATCTTTTGGATGCAAGTGGGTGTGTTAGTTGTTTTAGCGAGTTTGATGTAAGGCATGGATTCCATCACATTCTGGTGAACGAGGAGGACCGCCCAAAGACGATGTTCATTCTGTTTGAGGGCACGTGGCAATGGATAAGGTGTTCCATGGAAATCTGCAATGCGCAGGTGACGTTTGCAGGCGATGAACGTAACTTTTTAGAACTTCGCTAACAAGACTTGACTGGAGCAGAGCATGATCAACTTTTGTGGTATTGTGTATATGGATGATATCTTGGTTTATTGGACTTTATTCTAACTTATTCCATGGCCATGCTCAGCACATCGAATGGATGCTAAGTGCATTGAGGGATGCTGGGTTCAGGTAATGGTCTAGGCCCCTACACGACCTCTAGGACAAACGGACCTACTAGACGAATCTACAGGACCTAACAGAATGTCACTAGTGGTGGGACTATGTTACAACGGACTTCAGGGCTTGGGAACTCGGGACTGGGACTGTGAGATGCGTGGACCCTTTCAGAACTAACAGTTACAGGAGCAAGTAGGTGACTAAGTATTGCAAAGAGACGGTCAGAAACAGGTTGTGAAACAATATCTAATATTTGCACAAGGCGGAGTGCATAAACCATCACAACTTTGCACAAGCCAACAGTGAGTTGCAACTTGTGACAAAGGAATGAATATGCATGTCGTGGAATCCTTATCAGACTAGCATTGCTTGCTTCATCCTCATGGTTTCCTTGTCAAAGGATCGATGTAGTCACTGTGGTGTATTAATTGTGGTGTGAAGTTGTGAACACACTTGCTGATCTTGTGCAGAGTGGCCATATGGTGGCCTTCACAGGGGCTGGGGTCTCTACATCCTGTGGAATACCTGACTTTCGCGGTCCAAAGGGAATATGGACAATGCAGGTAAGCACCCTTCGTCATGACATGGACCATACACGTGATTGCAAATGTGCACAACATCTGCTTGAGGGTTTTCCCAAGCTGCACTTGATTTTCAGGAGGATCTGTGCACAGTCAGATCGAAAATTGGATGGGCCTCTGTTTCTTTGGGAACATTTTGGGTGTGGCCTGTGCGAAATGGCTCTCTTGCCAGGGTCCTTCGGACCTGTATCTGAATCATCATTCCTTACAACGGTTTCTTGTTTTGTTGCTGTTCTTGAAAAGGGAGGGAGAGCCCCTAACCTTATTTGTGCCAAACAGGCTCTGTACTCTTCATCTGTTTATGAACAGTTATGTGTGTCTAGTACTGTGCACGACTCACCCATCAGACATGTCAGATATGCCATTCCATCTGTTTATCAACAGTTACGTGTATCTAGTATTGTGTACGACTCGCCCACACGACACATGTCGGATACACTATTCCGTACAACCTAACTTCATGTTTCGTTTCCCTCGTTCTGTGTGGGAGCATGGATATCAAGCATGTCTACGAGGTACTGGTGGCTGAATGGTACACATGTATAACTGCTGATAAACTGGTCTGAAACGGTTTTCACCTTTGCAGTAGCAGATCCCAGGGCTCGATCCCTAGACCTGCCCTGAACCCGTGTACAGTACACTTTGCCCCATCAATGCTTGAACCCGTGATCTGCCCCTAAAGTTGTCTGTCTAAGGCCGTTATAGATACAACGGTTGAGTAGGTTCGAGCTGCTTACCTGTAGGATAGGAGTCGTAGCTGCTACAGTACCGAAAGGGCAAGCAGGAAGGTCTGGAGTCTTCTAGGACTGCCCCTTCGAGAGTCTGAGAAGCAGTCCGTAGGCAAGTGGGCAAATGGGCAAGTGGGCACGTGGGCAAGTGGACAAGTGGACAGACTTACCAAGTCTAGTCAGCGGTACCAGTCCCAGTCGCACCTCGTCCAGTCAGCAAGTACCATGTGGGACTGTGTGCATCCTAGGCCCGAAGGAAAGAAGCAGACCAGCGACCAACTGAAGTATAAATCAAGAGGCAGCGTCCAGTTCATTCATTCAGACTGTGAGCTGTGCGGAAGTGCTGCTTGAGCGACTTGTGCAAGGAGGTCTGCAGGTGCCCGAGGAAGAAGTGGGCTGAGAGGGAGACAAAGCATCCATATCCACTAGTTAGTGGTAGAGGTAGCAAGCAGCCATAGCTGCGCTAGATTAGAGATAGGTTTCAGCGTGTTTGCGTATGAGTGTGCAGTGAGTTGTGTGCGTGTGTGGGACATCCAGGGAGATCCAGGGTAGCATGCATGTGAACAGTTGCTGAGGATACAGCGTGGAAGGGTGTTGTGAGGGCGCACAGGCGCCACAGCCATGGAAGCAAGTTGAAGATGAACTGTATTCTTGGCCACGATATCTCTGAGCTTTGTGTGGGCGCTTGTCTCCAGTGTGATTGCCATCTGTTTTCATGCATGCTGAGTGCGAAAGAAGACGAGTCTGATTTCAGGTCAATGGTTTGAACCCTGTTCGGCAGACAGGAAGTCATAGTTGCAGCACAGAGCTGCTAATGGCATCCCTCTGTCACGAAGCCGCTGCTCTGGCCCTTGTGCGTTCCTCTCCTTGCCCCATCATATCACACTCTCAAATTACCTGTCCCATTGATAATGTCTTAGAAGTAGATCAGGGGTGATTGGATGCCGTGTGCCACATTTCTCGGGGTCCGTTTTGGTAGCACTTACCTGAGTCGAGAGGCTTTCTTTTCCTTTTCTAGAGTAAGCGAGATTCGAACCTGCATGATGCCCCAAGTTTTTTTTTTATTTTTTTTTATTTTTATTTTAAATGCAGGCTTGTCTTGTCCTCATCTGGGGGACAGCCGCATTCTTTTACTATGCTATCATCTTCTCTCAGTATTGTACCTCGCACTACCTACCCCGGACAAGCAAGCGATCAGGGCCCATCCCCAGTCCGTGCTCGGCAAGGAGTTCTGGTGGAACTTCTGCAGCTTCTCCATTGCCTGGAGCTCGGGCAGTTCGACTTGGAACCGCGTGTGCCATGCTGTCGTGAGATCTCCCAGTTATATTTGTGTGCAGCTCGGAGACAATGACCTTGTGCGTGGACAGGAGGTTGTCGAGCCATGCTTGACACGCGCTGGCCAACCGGTGATAATGACAAGCATGCTGGTTGGGGTTGCAAACCTTATACATGTCCAGCTGCAAGGTGAATTCCCTCCACCAAGGGAGAGGCTCAGTCTTCGAAGAGTCGTGGAAGACCGGGATGTCCTCTAGCTTGGGTGGGCAGTCGGGGGTTGACGAGGCTGAACTTAGCGCTGCTGCACGAATCTGCTGCTCCAGCTGCTGATTTGTTGTTTGGTGCAGTTGCGCACCATCCCTGAGAGCGCCTACGTCAATCTCCAATGCGTTGACGCAATCCGGAATGTTGGAGGGGCCAACGACTGTTGCTGCAACAGGCTGTTGTTCCAAAGTGTGCACGCGGGCGGTCAATGTCTGCACGTTCTGGTCCAGTGTGAGGATGTCCTCTTGCTGGGCCATGCAGGTGGCCAGGTCCACAATCCGCTTGATGGCCATGGAAAACTTCCGCACGGTCTCAGAAGCACCCTCCTTCGTGGCTGACTTGTCCCAGTCTGTGGCCAAGGTCAAGACTTCGGCCTCCTCCTCGAATAATGCTTCTCGGCACGTCTGTCTTGCTTCGTCTGCAGCCTGGCTTGCTGCATCCTCGCATCTTCTCGTTGCTTAAGCTCGAGCATCATGTCAGCCAGCCGAGCCTCGTAGTCTGCCTCGGACTCATTGTCCTTGCGCTCCATCGCCTTGGTCATCGACTGAAGGACTGGAGGCATGTGCGGGCAGTGCTGATGTGGCACAGGCTTGTAGCTGACGTGGTGCTACTGCCCTGCTGACATGGCACGATTTCGCTGCTGACGTGGGCTGCTGTCATGGCACGGATGTCGGCTGGCATGTCGCTGACTTGGCCTGCTGACATGGTCTCTCACCAATATCCGCAGCAGAGGAGATGGAAGAAGAAGGAGAAAGGAAGAAAACTCTGAAAAAGAGGAATGAACACCAGTGTAGATGGGGTGAGTGGGAGGGAGGGAACGACACACCATCAATTGAAAAGCATCACCCCACTTCCCATGGTGTCACATTGATCGCCCAGATAGGAGGCCACTAATCAAATTTTGAAAAGATCGAACTTGCTTGGAAGGAAAAAAAAAATTGAAACAATAATAAGTATTAATAACGAATATTTTTGAAATAGCAGGTTCGATCTAGGCTGTTTTTCCGGGCGCCCGGGCACCCAAGTTCTGCCCGGGTACACGCCCGGGCGCCCGGCTGGGCATGACCCCCGGGCAGGGTTCCGGGCAGCCCCAGCGCAAGAAACTACTAATAATAAAATATATATTTTTTTCAAAAAGAAATAATGTTCTGTAGAATTGAAATACAAACAACTTTTGGCTGAGGGTCACATTATAATTTCTCACAGAATCGGAGATAAGAAAGAAAATAACAGAATCACACAAAGGCACCCCCCTCTAAACCCCGTTAGCCCCTTTAAAACCAATTCATAGGTAAAAGTTTTGGATTACCTAAGTAGCGAAATTTCTGGCTTCAGTTGCGGAGGGGAACCATCAAGTAGAAGCCAGGCGATTGGGCACCAAGAACGACAGACAACACCCCCGCCACAGCATACCAATTTCGCATGCGGGAAGGACCAAGGATCTCTTGGCTAATCTGTGACATGTACACAGTCGAAGAACCAGGAATGACGACAAGCCTGTTAAGCCGAAACCCTTCGGGAGAAATTGCCGTACCAGAACTCACAATAAGGAAAGTAAGGGTCGTAGAAACGGAGGAGCGCCACATCTTTGAACCACTACTGAACATAGAGGACCTGGAACTTGACCCAGCAGAATGGGCATGGAGAAGGAAATCAGGCAGGTTACGGATCGAGAAACATACTAACATCCTCGACTACTCCACTAGATTGGGATACTCTCTGAGAATGAGATCCTTCCCAGCAGCCCAAATCATTAACCACAGATGGGAAACCCACCTCAACCTGCCACCAAGTCAAACTCTCATCACCTCCTGGAGTAGAGTACTTGCCATCACTTCGATTAAAATAAGAAGCTTCCAATGGCTATTAGCCCACCGACCCCTCCCAGTGAGCAAATGGCTGAACAACAGAAGGAATATGCAGTCGAGATCCGCCTTACAGGAACTCTGTTCTATCTGCCCAGATGGCCTTACAGAAGATATAGAACATTGTCTATTAATTTGCCGGAAAGCCAAACAACTCTGGTCTAACACATCCCAGCTATGGAACTCAATTTACTAACAAAGCTCTTCCGACGGATCAAGTCACACTATTACTAGGTCTACACACGCCCAGCTCATGGCAAGGATAGTTCTTCCACATCTTACGACTCACAGCCTTATGGATGGTTTGGAAACGTAGATGCCAAGAAACAATAGACCATGTCCCCATGGCAGCTCAAGAAGCATGGGAAGGAATGCTGTATTTAGTAGAAATAGAGTATAGAGGCTACTGGAAGAGAACCCGCAGAAAAATGGCAGACAACATGGTTAACAAGGACAGAATGGTAGAGGCGTTTGTGAAGCACCAGCTAGGAGAAGGAAAGATAGCAAGAATAGATCAGGATAGATTTCACTTCGCTCAATGGAGGCACAACCACATAGCCCCACCGCAAGAATTAGAAACACCCAGAAGCAAGACCCATCTCACAGGTATGTCTTTAGGTTCAGGATAAAGAGATATGTCCCGTACACAGCCCTGGAAGGAGATAAACGGACAGCACCAGCCCCCCACACTCCAGTAAGCCCACTTGGACATTTAGGATAAACATCAAGAGACGCTAATGAAGGATTGGTTAACCACGACATCCCATCACACCCAAAGACCCATCATCAACTCAACAAGCTCACAGACCCAGATCACCACTCCGGAAGCAAACCCCCACAGCCGACAGGA